GGAAAACCTAATGGTTAAAAATCGTTCTGAAAATAGTAAAACAATATACAAAAAACTTTCTGAAACTGATACATGCCTATCTTCTTGAATACTTTAAAGAAGCTTCGACAACGAACATTCTTGTTCAGTTTTTTGGAAACTTCGGTTCTTTACCCATGCCTTTACTCAATTTATACACTGTTTTTAACAATTAATTAAGTTTTTATTAAATAGATTATTATACATTAGCAATCGAATTGAATAGGTCCATAATGGAACATACTAGGTATGATCAAAAGTTCTCGGCCCGATATACTTCTAGCCACTACACTGACATTTACTCACGAAACGTCGATACCGATATCTTATTGAAGATTACGGACCGCGGTTTTACACAGATTAAGTAACATAAAACACACTTTGATCAGTAGAGGGGTGTGTCATTTAGCCCAAATTGATAAAGTTGAAATCAAAGCCGTCATTGAGTACCTCTGTAAGAAAGGAATTTCCCCAAAGGAAATCCATGAAGACTTCATGGATACACATGGAAAGGAGTCCCATTCCTTTAGCACTGTGAAAAAATGGGCTGCTGAATTTATGAGGAACAGGGAGAGCATTGGAGATGATTGGCGGCCAAAAAAGGCAACCAAAGATGAAACTGCTGAAGCTGTGCACGATCTGGTCATGTACAACAGAAGGCGAGACCTGCAAAGCATTGCTAGGGAAGTGGGTATAAGCTTAGGTTCAGTTTAGGCAATTCTGAGTGATGTCTATGGCATGTCAAAGGTTTCTCTGCTAGACGGATCCCCAGACAAGATATCTTTTGTCTCGCTATGAGGATGAACCTGATTGTTTCTACCGGATCGTTACTCAGGATGAAACATAGGTCCATTACTTCGATCCAGAATCCAAAAAAACAGAGCATGCAGTGGAAACGCCTGGCTCACCCCCTGCAAAGAAATTCAAGAGAGTGCCATCAGCAGGGAAGATGATGATTTCAATTTTTTGGGATAGTCAGGGGACAATCATGATTGACTATCTCGAGCAAGGTCGTACCATAAACGGTACGTACTATGCAGACGAATTGAGAAGTTTGCGTCAAGAAATAAGGAGGGGCAAACAGACTCAAGGCGTTCTGCTCCTTAAATGTTGCGATGGCTGCTGAAACTGACTGCGGTTTTAAAATTCTTCCCCATTCCCCATATTCTCCGAACTTGGCCACCTCTGACTTCTACCTGTTTCCAAAACTGAAAGCAAAGCTTCGTGGTAGACGATTTGGAAGCAACGAATTTGTCATAGAGGCAGTCAATGAGTTCATTGAGGACCAACATAGAGAGTTCTATTTTTAAGGGTTAAACAAGTTGGAGCACAGGTTGGCAAAGTGCATTGATTGAGTGTGGTTATATTGAAAAGTAAGACCATTAGTTGGGTTCTCTCAATACCGGAAATACATCGGATCAAGATTTTTTATCAATCCTCGTATGTTATATCATAAACAATTATGTTAATAAAATGTTAATAAATGAAATGTTCATAGTAAACTACTTAAAACTCATATGATATTTCATGCTCCTCCTGAAACAACATTTATTTCCAATTATGGTTATAACCCCGAAGCTCATGTGCATGTAAATAAAGGGAAATAACAACAACAGAAAATTAACAACAAATAAAACAATTCACAATTCTCTGGTTTGATAAAAACTGTCATGTGTTGCACTTTGGACCTGAATATCCTCCGTTCCAAGACTACCCGCCCATTGTCAGGAAGCTTGTCGAATTCTTGCCCAAGGGTACCCGAGAGAGGGATATTCCGATCTTAATCGCGAATACATATCAGATATTTTTCTGGTATATTCTACTATATTCTTTCATGAATCAATGCCATTTTAGCCGTTACTTTTTCGTGTCAGTAGCGAATGATTCACAACTATAATTGTTCATTCAACTATGTTTACATTTAAAATGGCTTTAACTATCTAAATAAAACAGAACCCAAAAAACCCAAACCCAAACACTATACGTGAAATCAAGTTTGCCGTTTGGTTTGTGCTGGCGTTTTTATACGCCCGTTTGAAAAACGGGTCGTATTTAAGTTTCGCCCCTGGAAGGCGGCGTTCAATTTGGTCGGAGCAGATTTCCTACACGCATAGACAAATTCCAATGAAACTATATAGAATTACCTCTATAAGAAGTTGTGTCGCGCGCGTGAACCAGGTGTTTAGGTCAAAGGTTAAGGCCACACTAATAGGTCATTTTAAAAAGGCTTGTCCGGAGCAAAACCTCTACATGCATAGAGGAATTTCAATAAATCTTGGCACAAATATTCACCATTGTTATGCGGGGTGATGCGTGTAAAATTTAGGCCCCTGCGTCCGAGGTCAATGGCACACATAGTGGTCAAAATTCAGATGAAATTAAAAACATTTTAAAATGTGTTTTCGGATCATTTAGTCATCATTTGTTAAGAAATTGAATAACAAATGGTCATTATCATGACTACAGGTGTGACACATGTAATTAAGGTTAAAATATACAAGGTCATGGTCACTAAAATGATCAAATATAGAGATTTTGCCCAGAGCATATCCCCTCCACGCATGGAGAGATTCCAATGAAACTTCATAAAAATGTTGACAACTATGAGAAGCAGTTTCATACGCATGAAACAGGTCTCTAGGTCAAAGGTCAAGGTTACACTTAGAGGTCATTGAAAAATGCTTGTTCGGAGCAAAACTTCTACTTATATCGAGGGATTTTAAGGTAACTTGGCTTATTTATACTCATGTATGTTTTAAATGTATATGTTGTTTTAAATGTCACGTATATGTATTCCATATTGAAATCTGCGGATGTTTCATAATTCAAAATTGTACCATTTTTCACTTGAAAGTACCGTCTATCAACAGGCTCAATCAAACCGAGCCTGCAACATTTTCAATTTTGTCGTATTGAACTTTCTTGAGGGATACTTGTTTTCTCTATTTTTAGTACAAATGTTCATCATTGTGAGGCAAAGTCTTGCGCGCCTAATCTATGTCCCTGCTACCAAGTCAATGTCACTTAGAGAGGTCAAAGTTAAGATAAAACAGAAGATGTATACAAGGACCATTTAGTCGCCATTTATTGATGGATTTTAACACACATTATAATATTATGACTACAAATTTAACACATGTAATAATGTCTCCCAAAAGTTTTGTTATCATTGTTTTGGCATTGGCCGTCTGTCCAGTCGTCTGTCCGTGCGCATTAAGCTTGTCCGGCCTTAACAGGTCAAACTACTGGTTCGATTTTAACCAAACTTTGCAGGAGTGATCAGTACCATCCCTAGAGATTTAATTTGGTAAAGAAAACATATACCTTGCATTTAAAACAACATATACTTTTAAAACGTACATGACTATATATAACTCATGACATACACACCAGCACTAAGGATATCACAAAAAAGAGATACTCTTATTTCCATTGTATCCCCTAGTTGTGCACCTCGCCAGCACGTTCCGCTTTGGTGCACGAAATGGTCACCAGAGCTAAAAAATAGCTGTCAAGCTATCACAGGTCAAACAACTGGCGGGATTTCCACCAAAATTCACAGGAGTTCAGTACTATCCCTAGTTGTGCGTATCACGACATGCTCCGCTTTGCTGCACAAAATGGCCGTCAGAGCTATAAAACGAAAAATGTTGTCCTTTCACAGGTCAAGCTACTGGTGGGATTCCAATTAAACTTCACATTATTGACATACATAGTTTTGGGAGACATGTGTTTTTGTATAAACCTTCTAGTTTAGATTAATATTTGCAAGGTCAAGATGATTGAATATCCAGACATTGTCCGGATATTTCGCAGAGCATATATCCTATATGCATATCTATAATGCCTACATTTCTGTCAAAAGCTTTTATTACGGTCTAAATATGCAAATACAATCGTTGTAAAATCAAACAAAATGTAATAAGCAAACATTCAATAATACTGTCAATATTGGGAGTATTCCTACTTTGAAGAGACTTATTACATGTTGATCTAATTAGCGTGTTGATTGACTTATGTCGAAAATGAGTGAATTTTCCGTTGTGTATACATTTCAAGGAAACACCTAGCAGTCAGATGCGGAAAACAAACGGACATTACATCATTCTTTAAGAAAAGTGATTAAAATGTGTTTAATACTGTGTGCTATCATTCGAATAAACTTTACTGCAAGTGATATCAGTTTGTAAACTTGTTATCAAATAATCGGTAAATTAAATAAACGTGCTAACTATTCATAAATGTGCTATTACTCTCACAAAATGATTGCTATGAAATATGTTATATGTAATATGTGTTATTATGCAATGTTAAAGTACTAAATAAATAAATAAATTAGGTTAGAAAACAACGTTTTTGTTTTAGTGGTGTATAACTGAGTAAACCTCACTATGTGTTTATCACATAGCACCTAAATGCTGTATTTCCGCTGGTAAACATCCGTTAAATTATGTAACAAATTGTTATTTTTTATTATAAGGATTGACACAAGATTATGAAACATCGTACGTATTTGACTTATAAGGTATGCGCATGTCTTCTGTAAAAATTAGTTATTGACATGTTCAAACCCTCATACGTTTATCTCGACATTTCGTTATCTCGATATTTTTTTGACAGTCCCGAAGACTTCGAGATAACGAGAGTCGACTGTATTGTTAAACAGGCGCTGCCCACATTTTCATGTAGTAGTAGTAGTAGATAATAATAATAATAATAATAATAATAATAATAATAAGAGTGATAAAATAATCAAATAATTTTATATATCATCCATTATTTTCAGGAAAGCTATTTAATTGTATCTATTGTTTCTTCTGTTTTGCGCTAGAACTTCAACTAGGGGTAAAACAACAATTTCAGTCTATAGTAATTGAAATTTATGGTTTGTTTCAAAATATTTTACGACTTTATGTCCGTTATCGGTACTTAGAAATAAATTGATTTTGTCACGACTGTAGTATACAATCTCTTTTACCTTGGATATAAAAGGGCATGTAGTATTTGTTACGGCAGAATAAGATATGGATAACGCATGACAATATGGGGATGTTCGTTACAATTGTAGTAGCATGTATATTTTCAAAACTGAATTATGTCTCAACTTCAGGTTTGGACTTTAGTTTACCTTATACTTCATTTTGAATTTGTGTTTTTATGTTAAAATGCCTAAAAATGATGTTTAAAAGATATAAAAATGTCAATCTTATCAACTGCATTCGTTGTCCTTACTTAGCAGTATTATAATCTTTCACCGTGAAGAACAATTCGTTTTTTTTTATTTCAAAGCAAAAATTAAAAAAAGATTTCTATACCTAGAATATTGATCTTTTATTACTGAATTTGTTGTCAGGAAAACACTCTAAATCGATATCAGACTAAAATATTATTACCTTTTGGAGATAATGGCATTGCACACGCTGAATTTAAAATGCGGTAATTTATATTTTAGAATTAAGGACACGTATCCAATGATGGCGGTCAAATCAGATCGCACATAGCAAGGAAACAATTATGTTTACGATTTATGTCTTAATACAGCATTTACAATTATTGATATTCTTAAATAATTAAACTTTTGAAAAAGGACATGTTATAATGTTAAAAAAATACGTTAAAAATCGATTTTTTATTTTTAAAGTTTGCATATAGATGTAACGGTGGACCTGTATAAAATTATATACAGTCATTTATTTGAATCGTCATAATACAAAATTATATAGAATTCTTTTAATAATTTTTGTTCATTTTTCAGTTTTTTTAAATTAAGAAAATGAATCTACTGGAAAAGAATATAGATACATATTTCTTAATAATGGCATAGGTCTAAATAAAACAATAAAGAAACTAAGCTTGTTATCTTTACAAATACTTGATCATTTGCACAAAACTCGTATTAAAGTTAGCTATATTGCAGGTACAAAACCAGTCCTTGCTTACTTCATTGTGATTTATCTACACCGAAACAAGCAATAATTATAAATTAACGATGGGGAATAAAAGTGTACTCCTTCTTTAAAATTTGCCTGTGATTATGCAAGTTAAAGTAGAATTATTTATTTAACCGTTTTCATGTTGTCATGCACTGAAAAACTACAAAGAAATACCAAAACACTACGATATGTGTAAACACACGCTATGTGTAAAATCCTATAATTTAAAAACCTTGCAAAGTTTCAGAAGCATGACATCAAATAATCTTATTTTCGTTAATGTTAACAGATTCGAAATATACATTTATAGAACAAATTATACAGCATAAAATATAAGAATCGGCAATTAATTAAATTGGATATGCCATTCATTAATTATTCCGTATCGTTGTATGCTAAAATCGCCCCGAATCATATAAAGAAATGATTGTGAAATGAAAACTTACAAATAATAATCTTTTTTTAAAATACCAATGATATATTTCCTATATTTGCCTCTTCATAAAAATACCAGTGGAAGAAAAAGAAAACAAAGAAATATTTATTCCAATACCGGAATGTGGATTTGGTACCAAGTAGGAATAGCAGTATACTTTGCGTTCAAGGTTGTTATTTTACAATCCATGCTTTTGTGTTGACTAAAAGTACATTATAGACCATCTCGTAATTTAAGACAACTAGGCAATTAAGAACAATTATATAAATAACAGAATTGTTTGTTCTTTTTGTAAATGGTTCCATAATGCAAAATGCTTATCCACTATTTAGACCACCAGTTTCATTCCCAATTCTTTGTTATATTCTTTATTCAATCCCACTTTTGAGACCACTGATAAGTCAGTTAAAACCTATTTAGAACACAAGTTTGTTGTTTATATTTCATTGTATGCTCTTAGGCATGGCACTCGATGAAACAAGGTGTCAAAACTGTTATAATTGGGATATTGTATAAAATACGGTGAGGAAATACATTTTGGAGTCAATATTGCTTTCTGTTTTTTTATATTTTAACTAGTTAATTTCGTACTTGATAGATAAATTATATTCATCATATACATGTACTTTTAAAATCAGACCAATGTTAAATTTCTTCAAAATTATTTTGCTCACATCGGATTTAATATATAAAAAAACACCCCTTAGCAGTAGTAACTGAGGGTTATAATAATATTGTTTGTAGATACAAAATGACTAAAAGTAGGCCATGTCCATAAAATATATTGTATAGTCGAATAATTGCTTGTTAAATAACTGACGGTACAATGTTTTGTTAATATTGTACTGCAGGCTGCACGAATTCGCCTATGGATATTGTTTTGTTACTAGACTCATCCGACGGTCAAACTCATTTCGATGAGGAAAAACAGTTCTCCTCAAGATTGATAAATGACTTATGGGATGGAAGCAACCGCTTTGGTATGATAACATTTGGAAGTACTCCCAATATACAGTTCGATTTAGAAACATACCAATCTGTTTCTGAAACTCAGCTTGCAGTGGAATATATTTGGCAAAGCAGTGGAAAAGCTGAGGTTGGCAAGGCACTCGACTACAGTATAAACCATGGTTTTCAAGAGATAAATGGTGGAAGGCGTCTGGCACCAGATGTAGTGCTCCTAATTACATCATCTGACATATATGACAAGTCATATATTCAAAATATTTCTTTGGCAGCAGCGTCAACAGGATCACAGCTTTATGTCGTTTTAGTTGGGTATCACATCAGCACATTTTGGTATGAAAAACTAACTACCAAAGAAAAAATCATTAAGGTTGCTTCTGAAACGAATAGTCTAATGAAAGAACTCGGCAATGTTAAAAGTTCTATTTGTAAAGGTAAATTCTTTCTCCCTGTTTTGTTTGTACAGATAGAAAATGACAAGCGTCTATTATTAATATCAATTTCACTAAGTTGATAACAAAACATAAAAATGTTATCATACAACATTTTCGTGACATGCATTGAAACGACATATTCATAACGTTAATAATATGGTCAGAGAAAATATTGTAATTCAAAAGAACATACAAATCTACAAAAAATAATATTTATCAGATGGCTGATGTTTCTAAGTATTCTTTAAATATTTTAAACACCATCTGTACGTTAGTTAGAAACAATTAATTAATACTATTTAACAACAGATTAATCATGAATTAAATTAAAACACCAAGTTACATTATTACAAAAAGGAAGAGGCATATTAAGAGAATGGTCTGAATGGACTGTGTGTGGATCTCTCTGTGGACCTGGGTTGAGGAGGCGTTTCAGAAAATGTGAAAAAAGGAAACCTATTGATATAGACTGTGATGGAGAATTGATGCACGAAGAGCGCTGTTTCAATACACCGTGTACTAGTAAGTCGTTTTTATGCTGCTACATAATTTGTTATTGTTCAATTTCACAAATTAAGCATTGTCTCTTAATCTGTTCTTGACCATTGCTACTATTTTTACTACTTTAAGGTAACAAAATGAACATTTAATTGTCCAAAGATTATAAAACCTTAAATTATTTGTACTTCCTAAAACGCTTTGATCATTGTGGTTCACTTTCGGCTCGAACCTACAGTGGTGTGGGCCAAGAGGATGGAAGCAAATTACAATCGTAAATACAAGATACTTAAATAAACAATAATTTGCAACTCAAAACATATTACTGTAGTTAGCAATAAAAAAAGCTTTCACTTACTAAATACTGTTTTACAATCAAATTGTGTTTCAGTAGTCTATAATGATGCTTTACACATTTCTTTATAGAGCCAATATTATTGTCATTGTTAACTAGTAAATTGTATTGTTTGGATATAAGCTTTTCCTATACAATGCTAAGCGTCTTATGCGAACCTTCTTTTTAAGTTATAAAATTAATGCTATAACTCTTTTTTTAATATGCCAGTCATAGCTTTTTTCTTACGTCATTATATAAACTAGATTTTATGATAAAATTATACTATTCATCTTAATTCAAATAAATACACCTAATTTGATAAATGTACTTACAGATGCCGCTACCTGTTTCTATGAAGAGTCAGGTGGAACACATTATCGATAAAACCTTTTAAAATTTGAAAATAGTAATTTTTTAAATATGTTTGAATAACGTATATGATTGTAAATGTATAAAATATTGGCTTATTTCAATAATGTAAACAGCTTGATTACTTATGCTTTAACTGGCTTTGATTAAATTCAAGCAGTCTTCAAAATACATGCTTAATATTATAAAAGAGACATTTTGCCAGAATTAATTTAAGTCTTAATCTAATGACTAGTAATGTGCCGTGAAATCCGAACAAAATCGAACAAAACTGCAGTCAAACATCGTACACATTTATATAACATGTTTATGTCTGACAAATCGACGTGCAAAATTGTTTAAATTTCGACTTAAAAATAAAAGTTTTTTATTGCTTTATACTTACTATTACAAATGTTTAGAGCCCGTAGACGGTTCTTGGTCATTTTGGGATGATTGGACAGACTGCTCTAAAACCTGTGGAAATGGTACCCAGATAAAGACTCGAACATGTACTGCCCCGTTTCCAGAGAACGGTGGCAAAACATGTCCAGGTAACTCGAAGAAGAGTAAATCATGCGCAGAATGGCCATGCCCAGGTATTAGTTCTTGAAAGTGTAATTCTTGATGCGTGTTTGTTTGTTTGTTTCATTTTACACCTTTTTCCAACAGTATTTCAGTCATATTGATGCGTGTTTTCTTTCTTTAAATCAATTGTTTTCAATAACACACGCATTATGTTACATTATAATTAACTTTCATTATGCCTTTAAGTAAATGCTACCTATATTTTGAAAGTAAAGAAATGTAATTGAATTAAACTTATACATATTAAGCGAAAATCTTATTCCTCTGAAAAATGTAAATGGGATCATTTTAAGCGACAATTTTAATAAAATGTTTCAGACTGTAGTAGGACTTGCCCTCCTGGTACTAAGTTATCTTTATCATGCGATGTATGTACAGCTACTGGTATTGTGTTATTTGGATATGTGAGATCGTTTTTGAACAGGACAATAGAAGGTGCACAGATTTTTGTAAAATCAAAAATGTACGAGTCATTAACAACATCAGATGAGTATGGCTTCTTCAGTGTTCATGGAGTATATGTTGCAGATGAAAGTATTGCAATAAGGAGGAAAGGTTACTCCGGCGTTGATGGGAAAGCAAAGCAGGTTAATCAAACCCACTGGGTTTTCAATTCAACAATGTTGGAAGAAGGTAAAAATGATATCAACATAAATGTAACACTTTTCAACTTAGATCTAATTACTTTGAATTTCTTTCTATATCCAACATATTCAAGACGTTTAAGATATGAAGATATAGTATTAAATGATTGTTTATGCTGCTTTAAGTTTTCGGTATTAAGAATCATAACTGTTTATATACATCAGAAAATGCCCACATAATTATCCTCTTAAGTCAACCCTTGGCTATCAATACTTATGAATTATAGCCATTAATAAAGCTGATCATGTGAATGGAAAACGTATATTAGCAATAAACATTGGCAGGCTACAACTTCATTTATTTAAAAAAAACCAACTGATTAGTACTTAAAAGTATAAGTAATTGAATGCCGAACAGACAGTAATTCAAGATACACAAAGGCCCTTCGTTGACCTTGGTTACACAAAAGAACGCATGGTTTTATTTGTAATGTTATTTGTTAGCAGTTGACCTAGCAATAAATGGAGCAGGCGTGACCTATTTTTTTTGCTGTTAAAAGCTGAAAAGGCATTTCCTTGTGTGCCTTACAATTGTAAGTGTCCGATTTCATTATAACAATTTAGAACCTAATGCAGATTTTTAGACATTACAGGATTTAAAAACATTGTACAAGATTAAAAAATCTGCAAAACGTGTAATCTCTCGTAAGCATTTATCACAAGAAAATAACATGAAAATTGCAGACTCGGTTTGATTGATTCTGTACATTAGGGATAATAAAAAAGTGCAACATCCCTCACGCTCCCTAACACCGAATTGAGTGGTACTAAATTTTCAACACTTTTAGGTGTCTTCTTTTTTCAATTTCTAGTTGCACCGCTTTTTCTTTTACATCCTACGAGTAAAAAGCGTCTTGTTGGCCAAAGTGTTTCAATATGCTGTAGAGCCACCGGGCAACCTCCGCCAGCGATATATACATGGTATGTACGAAAGTTTCGACGTACAAGATGGTGTAAGATGCAAATCTTTTACATTTGATCGAAGCAAGAAGTGCATATTTTTTTTAAAAGATGTTACAGTAAATAATTAGCAAACTCTCATTTGAGATTAAACTTATAAGAGATATATGGTAAAATGTTAATATAGTAATTGGTTGATGAAAATATTTATTTTGATAACAATAAAAGAAAATATAGATACATCAAAAAAGAGAATATATTGCATGTCTAATAATCTTTGAGGTAACGATATGATATATACATACAATCAGGTACAAAGGTCTAGAGTCTCTTGGTACACGAGGTTTGAACGGCACACTCGTATTCAGAAGCGTAAGTTTGTCCGACAAAGGAGAATATTATTGCTCGACTGAAACAGATGCAGGGTCATCAACGTCAAATAAAGCTACGTTAACAGTGTCAAGTATGATGTATACATATTGTTTTTCTTTTCTTTTTTTTTTTACATAATTACAGGTGCCTTTTCTATTATCCTAAACAAGTTTATCCCGAAATATATTCAGATATACAAATATATATAATTTTTTTTATATAATCTCATTTATACCCAAAAAGCGGGAATATTTAAGATAACATAGTGTAAATCAAAATTATCTAGCATCATTGACAAAGTAAAATATGAAAAAGATTGTATCACTTATTAAAATTCAATCAATAGCACACATTCAAATATTTTAGCAGAAAGAATTTACGCAAAAAAGAAGTCGGCGGAAAAAAACCATTGCCTTAGAATTCATCCTCAAAAGCTGACTCATTCTCTTAACGAGTCGACCATTTTACAATATGCACCTTGAATATAAGACTTTTATTTAATACGAGAATTGATCAAAAAGTTCTCGGCCCGATGTACTTCCGAAGTCAGAGAACCCACATAATGTTCTTACTTTTCAATGTAATCGCCCTCTACATCAATGCCCTTTGCTCACCTGTGCTCCAACTTGATAAACCCTTAAAAATAGTAATCTCTTTTTTGGTCCTCAAAACTTATTGACCGCCTCCATGACACATTCAAAATTCTAAAAACGTCTACCTTGGTTTTCTGTTTCGGAAACAGGTAGAAGTTTCAAAGCCGCAGTCACTTGCAGCAGCCAGCGCAACTTGAGATGTGTGAGCTGGCGCATTGTTGTGCAGAAACAGAACGCCTTGAGTCAGTTTGCCCCTCCTTTTTGACGCAGACGTCTCAATTTGTCTGCATAGTACGTACCGTTTATGGTACGACCTGACTATCCCAAAAACAAGTGAAGCCATCACCTTCCCTGCTGATCGAACCCTCTTGAATTTCTTCAGAGGGGTTGCGCCAGGGTGCTTCCAATGCATTGTCTGTTTTTTGGATTCTTGATCGAAGTGATGACCCATGTTTTATCCTGAGTTACGATCCAGTAGATAAAACCTGGATCATCCTCGTAGCGAGACAAAATATATCTTGAATTGTCAAGCCTGGTGGTCAGTCAAATGTTTGAGGACCCATCTAAAGAAAACCTTTGAAATGCCATAGACATCAGTCAGAATTGCCTGAACTGAACTAAAGCTTATTCCCACTTCCCTAGCAATGCTTCGCAGGTCTCGCTTTCTATCGCACATGACCAGATCGTGCACAGCTTCGGCAGTTCATTGTTGGTTGCCTCTTTTGGCCGCCAAGGCCGCTAATTACCTCCAATGCTCTCCCTGCCCTTCTTAAATTCACAAGCCCATTTTTTCACAGTGCTATAGGAAGGGGACTATAAAGTCTTCATTGATTTTCTTTGGGGACACCCCTTTCTTACAGAGGTTTTTAATGACGCTACTGATTTCAACTTTCTCTATACTTGTCTAAATGACATACCCTCTACTGATCAAAGTGTGTTTTATGTTTATAAATCTGTGTACAACTGCATGTAACTCGGTCAGTGTGTTCAATAAGATATCGGTATCGACGTATCGTTTGTAAATGTCAGTGTAGTGGCTAGAAGTATATCGGGCCGAGAACATTTTGATCATACCTCGTATAACCCCGTATATCCTGTAATTCATGGATGCGAACATAAAACAGGCATTATGAAAAAGTAATGCAAATTGTGCAAGTCTATGGTCTAAATTGTAAACATGGTAGTAAACGTGCTAATACATTTTAGTGTAAATTAAGTTGACACATATGAAAGCTAATCTTTTATATTTAAACCCTTATAAACAAATCAATCCTTTGTGTTTGGTTTCACGTCACACAAACACAGTAGTCAAATTCAAACAGCGGTTTTCTAGCTAAACGGATGGAGCCTGCATGCACAAACGGAAACCAGAGTAAAACTGCCCGTGTTACGTAATCCGTATCGTTGAGGAGCAAGTGGTTTGAAGTCAACGACCTTAACCACTTTCCTTGGACGCCTTTAACACATTAATCCTTGAAAGATCCGAATTTATGAAACTTTTTGATTATGTTGCTACCGGTTTTAAGGTAACGTTTGTGTCGTCGGTGTAAATAAATACAATTACCAATTTTAAACCATTTCTTCCTTTTGTTACACCTGATTTGTTTGCCAAATTGTGTCGTATTATACTTACAGGAAGCATTTAAAGTGACATCAAAGAAAGACAGTGAATGAACAGGTTAAATGCAAAAAATATTACAAAATGCCTACATTCCTTTCAATTTAATGATTAACGTCTTACATTCGGTTTATAAAAAGAACGGAACAGTCTTTTTATATTCTTCGCAAATTCATATTTAATCCTGAATGTTGTCCGATATCAACTGTTAGCCAATAACCATGATAATCTTCTTTCGATATCTTTTGAAACGTATAGTCAAATTAGTTTAATTTGGCAGTTATAATATGAGAAGTATGTTACTTTAACGTAGCTGTGTTTAAGCTTAAATTGTGTAAGTTTCTTTTGCTTTATTCACTAAATCGACTTTAGATGTGTGGACTTGTAGATCAATTGTCATTTCCTTTGCATCCAATACATGGTCGACTGTGGTCCGGTTTTGAATAACCTGAATTTTCTAATTTGGTGTTAATTATTTTGTAATGTACTTCATTTGAAATGTGCTTTTTTGGTGATGACTGCTTTAATATTGAATAATTTAAGACATAAGTGTCACCTGTCTATTATAATATCATTGTTTTGATAAGCTGGTACGTATTTATAAGTATATTTGTAAACTCCTGTTCTCAATTGTAATTCAAAAGGTTTGTTTTAACTTTTATTTCTAAAAAGTTGGCGCAACTGATACATGTGAAAGGCCAAAGCCGTTGTATGAAGCGCTTCCAGATGGTTGCTACGTTAAAGATGACATGAGCAAAAATTCCACAATTAATGTTGGTACATGCGGACAAGATTCATGTGTAACAAAAAGCCTCGCTGACAATTTTACATGTACAGAATGGTGGCCGCATTATTGCTGTGATTCTAATGCCGATGCCTCAGTTGATGTACAATGTGATGGCTTTCAGTACAAGGCTTCTATAGTTTCTTCTTGTACATGTCGAAAATGTTATAAGAAAACAGTCATAACAGGAAACGCGTTTGGGCGCGCAGAAAACGGCTCTATCTTGCCTTTAAAGTTTGGAACAATTTATGTTTATGGAAAACAGAAGGCCATGACCAACATTGTGGGGTATTTTTCTTTTGAAATTCCATTTGACTTTGAAAAAATAATTGTTCGATTCGCAGATAACATATATAAAACCTTTATTGACACAACAAAAAACATAGAACTTGAGCCCGGAAAAAGCACATCAATCAGTATAGCCTTGCCACTTCGTCCGAAGAAAATCGAATTCCGATCTGATTCGGAGTTTGCAGTCCAAGTCGGGTCCTCTAAGGGCCTGAAATCTCCAGGTGGTATAACAATTCCAAGGAACTCCCTATCTACAGTTGATGGTGTACCATACATAGGTAAAGCTAATGCTCAAGTTCATTTCATGGACCCCAGAATCCTTGAGGACTTTGAGGCATCCAGTGGTGAATTTTCGTTTCAAGAAGAAGGGGAAAATTGTCCGTTAGAAACATATGGAGTTATAAAAACCAATTTTGAGGATGATAAAGAAAACCAATTGATCTTGAATAAACCCATACAATTTGAAATAGACCCTACAGTTATGAACATTTCCAACAGTAATTCAGGGGACTCAAATGTTGAATTATGGAAATTTGATGAAAATACTGGCACATGGAAATCTGTTGACAAAATGAAGTCAAAAGTAACCCCATTCAGAAGACGTCTTCTTGATCAAATGTATGTTGGGTCAGATACGAGTGGTCAATATGTTCCGCCGATTGAGCTAGAACACCCTGCTGAATATGCGACAAAAACCGTACTCGATTATACTAAAGAGGTCAAACGGGTGATATATTATAAAAACTATTACAGATCTTGGTGGTGGAGAACGTATAACATTGATAGTCGAGTAATAACAAATAAAATCCAAATTTATAAGACAGTCACAACAATTTCAAGAGCATATTCAGTCGAGAGGGGGGCATGTTTTGTAAGAGTCACTGTATTTTCAGATTTAAGCGGAAACACCATTGCAAAAGACATGGTATCCGTAACTGCAGTTACGAAAGATATCTTAAAAGATAAATATAAAGGTTTTGAAACACAACCAATAAAGAATGGACGTAAATGTTTAAAGATATTTTGTGATTCTGAAGTTTACTTGTATGCAGAGAAAGCTGGATCGCGACTCATTGCATTTCCAAAACACGATCTACCGTATGGATATAATTCAACTAATATTAAAAACTCAACAGAAGTTGTTCTTAATTCAAGAAATTTTGAAACTGTTGGCGGTAGAAATGGGCCTGTTTACTATTTTGAAGACGAAAAAGAATGCACTAATTCACCAGATAGCTTTGAATTTCGTTTTGGTATGCGTTTTGGCAAAGACCCGAAATTAAATCTTCAAGTATCAGAGAATATTTATGACAAGAAACAGTCATGGCATCCTGTTCCTCCAGACAACGATAACACATTACAAGTGTGTTATTTAAAGGTTATGCTGAAGGTACACATGTTTTTTTGACACACACAAAAATAAATAATAAAAAAATGTAATTATATAAAACATCTGGATAATTGTGTTTAATTATCTGACAATAAATATTAAATATAATTAAAGTACATTTTCAAAGTATGAAAATATGTAAGACTACCATCAAACAATTTTTGTGGATACAATAATTCTTACCATTTCACGTATTTATCGTATCATGCCCCTTTCTTCTTTTCGCTGCTCTAATGTCCTCTCCCGGTTCAGGTCCGATGCCTTCTGGTGCCTTGCTGTTGTGGCTGAAGTGTGTCAGGTGTTGCGTCCTGTGAACATTGTCTTTACCTTGCTGATCTTTGTTCTCGTTTTTAGTTGTAAGTCGCATCATTTAAAAAATCTATCTTTACTGACGGAGAGCAATATGGAATGGGCCACTGCGCTTTATGTTTGCCACGAGCAATCATCCTGAAAAAGTCTTAGACGTAACATAACTAGCTTGACATCTTTAAATTCTGGCGGGATTTGATTTTAAACCGGTGAATGCCAACTGAGTAGTCATACAAACCTATCAATAAGTAACAAAAGTTACCACTAACAAGAAATATTTTTATTTTAAAAGAAAATGGTAATTTATCTAAATTTTTAGATACAAGGACATTTTGACATTCGTTTAATTGGAATTAGTCGTAAAGAAAATGCTTCAGGAGAACAGTACGGGATGTACAACGTCGCCCCACAACCAGATAAAACATATTCAACATTAGATGAAAGGGCTGCATGTGTTGAATTCCGATGTCCTGGAATTGTTAACGATGCTGGTAAAATCACGAAAAACGTAGCAACACATCTTGAGGTTAGACTTAATCCAAAGCCAAAAATACCCTGTCGAATCAGGTAATGTTTTAAGCTGAATATGTTCATTTTTTAATTGCCGCCTGAATTTATTTATCGGTACTTTTTTGTAGTCATAATCGTCAATTATAAATGAATCAATTAATCTATCTTGCGATCTTAAACAACACATTGTTTTTGTTTTAAATTAGAAATTGAATATAATTTTCATAAGCGTTTCCTAAAGTACAAAACACTACGAAATTTATTGAAAATATATAAAGGATGAAATAGAAATAAACGGAACCCCTTATAATAATAATTATAATAATAATAATAATAATAATAATAATAATAGTAATAATAATAATAATCAAACCACTTAAATCTTACGTCAAATTTCACGCTAAATAAAAAGTTGTTTTTATTCTCCTTTATATCCTCTTTTTCAGACCATTGAATAAGAACATTTCAATCACTGAAATTACATCTGGCTATGGATTTGATTTTCTTGCTGAGGCTGAAGATAGTTACGGCCCAAAATACGGGGTTTATATTTACCAGAGCAGTAAAACTAATGCACAAAACTTCTGCTTTCAAGGAACAAACTCTGGATCGTTTGGTAACGGCATGTTACCTTCTGTTAATGCAGCTGTTGAAATTGATTGTTTATAAAATCAAAACTATTAATCAGTATCTTTATATTCCATTTATATATGAAGCAATTTTATATCGTAACCATTAAGTCAATATGGCACATACTTATTTTATACGTTACGCCATTGTCATTGTTGTTTGAAGTTATTCCTTTTCATATGGTAAGACTTTGTTTATTAAAACAAATGCGTAGTTTTATACATGTTAGTATGTTACAGGCTTTTATACAAGCATACACTAAAATTCTTTTAAACCTCTACCAAACATGCATTATTTCAACACACAACTAAATAAATGATGGTCAGTAGATAAAGAAAAGGCATGTTAATTAATTCAAACTATACAAGGTTCTTAAAAGAAAGTTTCTTTTTAACATGACTGATCGATTTTCACGGATTGAGAAGATGAAAAGTTGAAAATACTTAAATGTCTTTAAGTAATTTATCATGAAAATATTTCTTTGATAATTTAAATCTTTTTAATGGACATTTTGAAGTCATTAAAATATTTATTAATACATGGTTTATTTGGCGATTACCAAATGTCTTGAAAGTGTTATGGTGCATAAAGAAATTAATTGTTTTTTGTGGTCAACATGATAAAAACTTGCGATGAATGTTTTATAATTTTGATTGAAAATTGTGAGCACTTTTTAAGAATACTGTTCTGCTAATCCTCTCAATCATGTCATAAATACGTTAATTTTTACATTAAACAGATAGCAAGAATATTATTTTTGTTATATATAATTTTCCACATAGGCATATTTATATGTCTTATCTGCATACGAAGGGAAACAGAATCATTTACCTGATCTGTACAAAAAGATATTATGTTGTGCAATGTGTCATTATTTTTTAAATTACGTTTATAAAAAGTAATTTGAAAAGTACAGAATTTTAAATTGTTCGTAATATCCCCAAAGGGCGACACTGACCCTTCAATTTGCAGCATGGATTTTGCACTATGTCGTGTTTAGGTAAATGTTAAGAAAAGTTTGAAATAAATTTTTCAAGGGGTATAAGATTGATTGAGCAGGCTCGAAATCGTCAGACATCCAACCTTTGAGGCAGAACTTGATTATTGAGCCCGCACAGCAGTAGCATGGGTTATGTACATTGCCTTATTGCAGTAAACATTTAACAAAAAAAGGATTCAAAGGGTATAGGATTTCAGAATGGACACAAACTTGTTTGATATTTGTCATTGGCCTTTACTGATATTACATAAAGTCAAGATAGCAGTAGATTGGGGTCTGCTGGTGTGGTTAACATTTTAGTCAAGGTTGAATTAAGGAATTTATAGATGGCGTATTGAATAAATAGAGCGGACACGAAATTAGGGGGGGGGGGCATTTAGATTTACCCTTGTCCGTCCTTCTGTCAATCCATCCTTCAGTCCGTTCTCATTTTGTGTCGCACGTAGCTCAAACAGTTTTTATCCTAGACTCATGTAACCTTACATGAATGTTTTTCAGCTTGTGAAGTTGTGCACCTGGGTATTTCCCTGTGGATTTATTTTGAGTTATTGGCCTTGACTTAGTCAAAATTTGCAATTTTCAACTTGTGACTCACGTAACTCAAAAAGTATTTTACCTAGAGTCATAAAACTTTACGGGAATGTTGATCAGCATGTGAAGTTGTGCACCTGGGTATTTTGTGTGGATTTATTTAGCATTGTTAGAGTAATTGTCCCTGACTTAGTAAATATTCGACCTAGTGTCATATGACTGACAAAAATATGGAGTCTTGGGGCACCCGTATCCTATGGACACATCTCTAGTTTACCGATAACCTTGAGCCGATACAGTGCCGATATTAGTTCTGCATAACAAATGTTTAGGTGAACATTTGAGCCAAGTTTATTTAAAAGTATATGATATGAATAGCGGATACGAAATTGTCTGACATTAGACCTCAAAGAATGACATTGACCCTGAGCCCGCACAGCGATGTCAAAGGTAATGCACATTTCTTTGTTGATGTGAACATTGAAAACAACAATTTACTAAATAAGAATCTACATGTAGCACAACTGAATAAAAGTGTATTCATTTAAGCATTTTAGACTAACATAATATATTTAAACATAAGTCTTGGAAAAGTTAATGTCAACTCAGAATATCAAACTCCTTCTAAATATAGTCCTGCTAATAGACCCTAACATCTTTGCTTACTAAATTTACATATATATCTAAATATGCTATATATCTGTAAAAATATGATCCATCGGAAGCATAAAAACAGCAAAAACAAGAGCCATGTGAACATAGCCATCCCCCGCCGAATGTGTTTGCTCATTGGAAGAATGTATATGTAGTAGAGCAGAATAATTCAATTTTAAGAGGTACTTTGGAAATGAAAACTGATAGCTGAAGTGATTACAGATTTGAAACCTTTGTGAATACTGATGGCTGAAAATATCAAAGGGCAATAACTGAAAAATTATATACGGTTACCGTAGCGTTATCATTCTTGTGCGCTGCACTCTTTAATGAGATCTATCCACCAATGGAGTTTCAAATATGATAAACAAGATCAACAAGAAAAGGCAGCGTTCAATGAACGCAACCCAACACTGAACGCCGAACAATTCCTTGTGGATAAAAATATAACAACATTGATAATGGATTGCATGTAGGGAATAACGTTTTACAGACGCCACACGGCACGAACAACACGGTTGTGGGCATAAAATATGATAAACAAGATCATCAAGGAAAGGCGGCGTTCAAGATGATATCTCAAAGGCTTTTCAGTAATGCTCTGGACAAAAATTAAGCATGAAAAATAACAAAGGACAAAAACTGAAACAGTATGCAGGGAAGAGTTATCATTCATGTGTGCTGCACTTCTCCAAAATGAGATATATCCACCTATGAAGTTTAAGGTTGATACCTCTTATCCTGAGATAAGCTCAGGATAAAAGGTATGAAAAATAACAAAGGGCAATAACTCAAAAATTATCAAGGGAAGATTATCATTATTGCGAACAACATTCCTCCTCAATAAGATCTATCAACCTATGAATTTTCATGTTGACATCTCAAAGACGTTTTGAGTTATGCTCCACTCGGGTGAAAAAATCAGTATGAAAAATAATAAAGGGCAATAACCCCAAAAATATTAAGGGTAGAGTTATCATTGTTGTGCATTGCACACCTCCACACCTCCTGAGTGAGATTTATCCACCTATGAAGTTTCATGTTGATATCTCAAAGGCTTTTTGAGTTATGTTATAGACAAAATTTAATTTTGAAAAATAACAAAGGGCAATAACTGAAAAATTATACAGGGTAGAGTTATCAACAGTCTGTGCAACATCCCCAACACCCCCTAGCACCGTCTATGGGACACTATTTAATTCATATTAATATTAATAATTGTTTACAAATCTTCTTTCAAACAAGTCGTCTAGTAATCAGAAATGCATACGATATTGCTAGAAACAGTACCGTGACCTCGCATGCAACCGGATGACTTGTTTTTCAGATTATGCAAGCAACCGTACAGTTTAGAAGCCTCAAGGGTGGCAGTTTCAGTGTCAATATTTTCTTAACGAAAATGTTCTCTTCAGTACCGGGAAAATACTATTTCATATAAGACAGACTCATGATAATAACAAAAGCGATCAGTGATCACATGTGTCGCCTCATGATGGCCAATTTCATGTTGGGACAAGTTTTGTGACAGACGGACAGACAATGCACAACTAAACTTGGTACTGATCATTCCTGTAAAGTTTGGATAAAATTGCACCAGTAGTTTATGAGGAGTAGTCCGGACAAGCTTTTGTGTATCTGGCAACACACAGAAAAAAACAACTTTTTATCAAAGGGCCATAACTCAGCCAAAAATCATTCAACCGGAAAACCCGTGCAATATGCGCAAGGACTTGAGCTACAGATCAATCTTGTAAAGTTTCATTGAAATTGCATTAGTGGTATAAGAGAAGTAGTCCGGACAAACTTTAAAAATAAAAATTATTAAAGGGCCATAACTCTAACAAAAATCATTGAACCTGAAAATGCTGACAATATGCACAACTAGACTTGGTACTGATCATTCCTGTAAAGTTTGGGTGAAATTGCACCAGTAGTTTATGAGGAGTAGTCCGGACAAGTTTTGTGACGGACGGACAGACAGATGACGGAGAAGTGATCCCTATATGTCGCCACTACTCCGTAGAGGCGACACAAAAATAACAAGAGGGCCATGATGGCCCTGAAGTCGCTGACCTGTATATAGGCCCCCAGAGCGGGGCCAGTTTAAACCCCAGGGCAAACTTGGTAGACACCCATTAGAAGATGTTTCATGCTAAATATCTAAGGTCTAGCTCGTTGAGTTTTGTAAAAAAATATTTTTTAAGTATTACCTATACACATATAGTTAAAAGCAATGACACCCCTAGGGCGGGGCCAGTTTTGACCCCAGGACTTTTATTTGAACAAACTTTGAAGACACTCACTAGAAGATGTTTCATGCTTAATATCTAAACTCTAGCTATTTGGTTTTTTTTCAAAGAATATTTTTAAGTTTTTGCTATACACATCTAAGGAAAATCAATGTCCCCCGGGGCAGGGCCAATTTTGACCCTTGGGCTTTTATTTGAATAAACTTTGAAGACACTTACTGGAAGATGTTTCATGCTCAATATCTTAACTCTAGCTATTTGGGTTTTTTCAAAGAATTTTTTAAAAAATTTTGCTATACACATAAATAAAATCAATGACCCCCGGGGCGGGGCCAATTTTGACTAAAAGGCTTTTATTTGAACAAACTTTGTAGACACTCACTAGAAGATGTTTCATGCTTAGTATCTAAACTCTAGCTATTTGGGTTTTTTTCAAAGAAGATTTTTTTAAAAAGTTTTTGCTTTACACATATAAGGAAAATCAATGACCCCCGGGGCAGGGCCAATTTTGACCCCCCGGCTCTTATTTGAACAAATTTGGTAGACACCCATTAGAACATGTTTCATGCTAAATATCTTAGCTCTAGCTCTTTGGGTTTTTACTATATGCATATAGGGAAAATCAATGACCTCCTCGGGCGGGGCCAATTTTGACCCCTGGGCTTTTATTTGAACAAACTTGATAGACACTCATTAGAAAATGTTTCATGCTAAATATCTTAGCTCTAGCTCTTTGTGTTCTTTAAAAGAAGACTTTTTAAGTTTTTACTAAATGCATATAGGGAAAATCAATGACCTCCGGGGCGGGGCCAATTTTGACCCCAGGGCTTTTATTTGAACAAACTTGATAGACACTCATTAGAAGATGTTTCATGCTAAATATCTTAGCTCTAGCTCTTTGGGTTCTTTAAAAGAAGATTTTATAAGTTTTTACTATATGCATATAGGGAAAATCAATGACCCCCTGGGGCCGGACCAATTTTGACCCGAGGGCTTTTAATTGAACAAACTTGATACTCACTCACTAGAAAATGTTTCATGCCAAATATCTAAGCTCTAACTCTTTGGGTTTTATAAAGGAAGATATTTTAAGTTCTTTATATCGGTTGCCATGGCAACCAGAGTTCTGCATGGAATTAAGTTCTTTGAACAATTTTTAAAGGTGACCACTAAAGGAACATTCTTGTGAAGTTTGGATGAAATTGGCTCAGCGGTTTATGAGATGTCATTTCAAGTAAAACTTTATGGACGACGGACGGACGGACGAAAGCCGGACGAAAAGCGATCACAAAAGCTCACCCTGTCACTTTGTGACAGGCGAGCTAATAAAAAATGTCTTCAATAATCGATCTGAACTGAACTATTTTACCTATATTTCAGTCAAAAAGAAATCCGCGTTTTGCATGTATACCTCGTTGGCAAGCGGAAGTTATATCGGACACTGCAGTGTACACTGTGATTCGGCCTTTGTGGAATTTTCTAGTCAATATTCCCTAATGTTGGAGTCAACCTAGAACTAATTGCAAATTTTTTAAAGTTTGTTTTCTGAAACAGTATGTATGTATTTTTATCCATAAAACCCGAATTTTTGCTGTTGCAATTGCTGTGAAAATGATGCCTGAAATACATGGTACCTCGAAAGTCAGTTAACATATTAATATAAATTGTAAATTTTAAAATTGCGTTAAAATATATCATTACAATATCAAAAAATAAATAAAAATGTATAGTTTCAATCAATTATAAAACAGTTAGCATATGATAACTAACTTTTTAAAATATTACCACACCCTCTAATGCATTTACAAAAGTTTCACAAATATATTCCAGGAATAATTCCTGATAACATCGTGAATGAAAAAAAAGATTTTGACAATCATTTCATCAAACAAAACACATTAAATCCATTCTATGGTTAAAAGGAAAGTTTATAACACACTTAAATGAAATTATGACTTAGAGCCTCATTGGTACTGCTGGAGCTATCATAGCAACGTCTGTTGTCATTTACTGACATTTAGTCATAGTATTAATGCAAAAATGTTTTTCAGTTCATGTTAAATGTTGAATTCTGCTTAAGCCGGTGCTAGGGGGCGTGGACGGTAGTTTGCACTTGACAGTACCGGCCATGAACAGGCTCAATCAAACCGAGCCTGCAACATTTTCAATTTTGCCGCGTTGGGCTTTCTTTAGGGATTCTTGTTTCACTCTATTTGTTTGGGTCGTTGGTTTTACGGCGCGCAAACACAAATTTGGTCATATGGTGCCGAAATAAGAAAGATGATTTGGCAAACCTCGGGTGTTACTGCGACAAAACTACCTCACCTACTTGAGCTTAGAGATGTGAATAGACTCCAGTTATTTGAACTAATTAAGTCGTCCCATACAATTACGAAGAGATAAACAGATGATGCTGTTTTTCTTGCAGGATAGTGTAATAAGTAATAATTGAAACAAAGAATTATCTTTTATTTGTGATTAACGTCTCACCAACACTTTAAAAGTAATATGGCGACTTTTAAGCTTACCTTGTGGATGATGACCACAGGGACCGCGACGTACATTATTTCAGCCTGTGTAGAGCTAGCTGAATAGCCGTCTCACATGAAAGAATATATGGGCAAACTTTACATTGGTTGGAGGTTTGTGGTTTTAAGCCAACAACAGTATCCACTCCCCGCCCAACAACAAGATAGTAAATCAGTTAATAGAACATTTTAAGGTTAAAGATGTTTGACAGGTTATACCCTTTAAAAAAATTGTTTGCATATACAGCCTGAGCTGCTTGGCGAGGGTTATATTATTAATCTAAAATACAGCACGTTTTCTTGAGACAAAAAAAAGGAAAAAAACTTTGTTCATAAAGTGTGTTTATAGTTTACATAAATGTCACGATAACATTATTCTTGCTATACTTACAAACTTGCCAAAGTTATACTAATAACATATTAACTAATACACTCGTTCAACCAACTCAAATAAACTTACACTAATAGTATAGCAAGTATATTCAAAATGTGGGTAACTTAATTTTTCCAATTCACAAAATGTCAAAAATGCAAATAAGGACATTATGTACATGTAAAAAGTACCAGTTTTAAATTTACACATGACAAAGTTCATTATATTTGGTTGAGTAGCAATGCCATACTAACTTATTTGCCAAATAAATGTTACATGCAAGCCAAATTGTATTCACCAGAGCACAGATCAGCCACCGCACCATTCCTGTGCAGGAAGTCAACCAGTTGACCAGTCTTCGAGTACTAAATGTGTTTACTTTCCTCCGTACATGCCAGAGCAGTGATACAATTCAACTGACCGTAGAAAGATTTTATGATCAATCACAACGAAATTGACGCGCATCGTGGTTGAATCGCTAGTTTCACAGTCCAACGCAAATCTGACTAAAGTTTCCTAACTTCTTATGTTTGCATGTAGATCTTATTGGCGGTAACTCATTTTCGACTTTTGGCCGATTTGGATACTCCGATAGGGCTTTCTAGCAGAACAGAACAGAACAGACAATTATTTACCTTATCCATGAATTCATTTTGTCTTAAAAAAACATTTAAGTTGATATTAAAAATATGATTTCTGCGAAACATCAGATTCTATCAATTTCGGGATCGTGAAGTTAGATCCAAGTCATTTATCTAAAAAGTGTCACAGGGCATCGTCATATTTGTTCAAATGCAATGTCTTGAAATCGTGTCAATCGAATAACATTTGTCTGGTTTCCAACGGTTAAAAATAGAAATGCTTCATTTTCGTGGACGTGATTAAAAAGTAACATGAGCGTGACCTTCTTTCGGTCATCGTCAGATCTACAAATAAACGAAAGAAGATCTAAACGGTCAGCTAAGTAGGTAGAGCGTTGGAATGTGAATCGTTAGGCCTGGGTTTGATTCCAGGACTGTGTAGCTTATTTCATAATGATTGGTCATGGAATCCTCTTCACGGTTATTCGCACTGTACCTCTCTACTCTGGCGCAGAAGTTACAGTTCATTGCGTAAATAAAGGCAATAGTACTGGTAAAATACTTGACAGTCACCCCAGGAATGATGAGGTGGATAAACTGTGCTCTGGTAAATTCAATGTTGCTTACTGTTGTGATCCAGAGTGAAAAGTACCAAACACCACCATAAACTTTAGTCAAATGGTTGCATAAACCAGACAATAATGACCATCATTAATGCTTGTAACCACATTATAACCATAGTGTTCTTCATATGTTTGGCCTTGTCGCCACATGAATTTGTCATTTCGGACTCTAAGTCACTAGATATAAGTAAGTGAAAAAGAGAAATACAGAATCCCTAAAGAAAGCCCAACACGACAAAATTGAAAATGTTGCAGGCTCGGTTTGATTGAGCCTGTTCATGGGCAGTAATGGAAATGCAAGTAACTGTCCACGCCGAGATTTGTTGTCATTGATTGACTTTTTGCAAAGTTTTGGACAGAACTTGGTGTACATCTGGAACCAAAGATCACTGTTTTTCATGGTGATCAAATTGATTACAGATATTACATTTGTGATACTTTCAGTTTTTACTTTTCGGCATTTTTCTAGCCAATATTCCTACATGAATTATGTTGAATCATCCTCAGGATATGTTGCCTGCTTTTTAAATATTGTCTTTTGACGTCATATCTGCGATATGCAGGCTTTACAACCTCTGATCCCCTATCAAAATTCCATTTTATTTAGTTTTGCCCATTGTTTTCTAGTTAAGGTTACACGCATTATTTTACTTGGGGACCATACGCCGCTTCTCATGGAATGGCACGAAAGTGTCACATTGAAGGTTCCATGATCAAGAGGGAGAATCACGCCGTTCGTTACCCTAACAAACAAGATGGCGGATGCAGCAAAAAAGTTGGTTTTTCCCTTTTTTCTCGGAAATTCTTGATGTTCTGATATAAAGGTACATATAACAACCTTCTCCACAATTTTCCTGGCACACAGGATTTTATTTCATGATGTTTCGTCCCGTACTTCATCTGAAATGCGCGTCACCAGATTCGAAGCGAGAGAATTTTCCACCGGTTTGATCGTGGTAACGTACGGCTTTTTCTCTAAAATTTACTGTTTCGTTTGCATATATGTATATTAACTGAAACCACTGACATTAAAAAGTTGTAATATGTCGTCATCTAAGCATACATGTCCATTCTGGCTAGATTTACTGCTGTAAATATTAATATCGGGGCATTTTCCGGAAATGATAACGTATGGCGCACAAAATATCAATGATAACGTACGGCGCAATTTACTACTTGGTGGATTTCCATTTGTCCAATCAGCTGATAATGAATTATTTTTATGTAGGAAATGATAGATATCTGAAAAAAATGTTGGTCAGGTCAGAAATAATAAATTGAACAATGCTGTACCATCGGATATAAGTATCTTTCTAGCTAGTGGCATAATAGATATCCGTTGTTTATATACCAATTAAAACACACGTGTATAGTTTGAGAATATTTTGTATAAAAAGCAGAATGGAAAGAAAAGCCTCCACTTTCAGGAAACATTTGTGTAGTGTTGTCTTCACATTAAATTTGCTGTGCGATAATTATGTTCTTATCCCCTTATCAGAAAGAAGAAACGCATTCAGCAGAGCAAAAATGTTAAAAAGGTACGGACGGCTTGATATATTTCGCAAACTGTAGAGGAATAAGAATTCCCATTAAACTTACAAGCATTATATATGTGTAAAAAGGCGTTATTCTCATACGAAATCATATTTACGCTTAGAAATATTGCGCCAATTTTGTGCCTAACGTGGCAATATCAGATCAATCATTTTCCTCTTGTTTTGTAAAAAGGATTGATGTGATTTATTTCCAATTTTATTTTATCATTATTCAATTTCACTTTCACTAAATTAAGATATTAAATGAATGTCAATGATAAGATTATCGTGACTAATCATCATGAACTGACAAGCTAGTGTCCTTGTTTTAAATAACGCTAAATTATCAATATAACGTTCGTAAATTACTTCTACAAAAGCGCTTTTACAAGTGACATTAACATGGATTTGGATATTGGATTTTTCCTTCGTTTGTATTTTTGTGTAGCACGATTTATTTCGTCTTTCAATGGATTCCTAACAGAAATCCTACTCATTTGGGGTCTTTTAAATTAAAATTATTATATCAGCTAGATTAGAGGTTTTTTCAAATTGCCTTTTCGAGCTTACGTTCATCATAGTTATATAAGTGAAAGACAGAACAATCAGCCTAAATGTTTAAACACTATCATATTATCAAAATTAATTTTAATTACACAAATACTAAATGTATATTGCATTCATGAACATATTTCTTAAAAGAATCGTTATATATTTTTATGCTTATGGTCATTGTTTAAATGATAAATTTTCCATTTCGATATTCTAGTTATGTTTTACTACGTAGCAGCGGCAAAAGATATACGTATCAACGATACAACCGTCCCAACTGTTCCTACATTGACAAATGCAACAGAAATTAACGGACAATACGTATATCCATGCTATGCAAGTGTTGTTGTGTATAAGTCTCCTGAATTAAAGGACACATACTCCAAAGGCGCTACTGTTTATGCCGTAACTCGAGAACGTTCGGACAAAAATATGATTACTGGATTCTCATCGAGCAAAACTGATAATAATGGACACGCGTGCGTTCTAACTCTTTGTCGTAAAGAAGCAATTCTTTATGTAGAGACCGGGAGTAAATCAACCGGAAACCTCGAGCGTTTATACGCTGCACCAATCGACAAACAACCCATACTTCCTCAATATGTATTTGAAATACATACGCGTATGGAGGAAATATACTTTAATGTGCGCAGTTGGGGCACTATATTGGGGAAAAGCGGTCCGGTATATAACGAATATGAACTGGATCAATGTCTGAATGCTGGTACAAAAAACTATCACTTTTCGTATTCATTCCTAGCCCAAAAAGAATCATTAATTACCGATCTTCCACTTACGACATATGGGAAACAGTTATCGTGGTATGACGTACCTGAAAATGCGCCAGGAAGCCAGGCTTGCTTCATGAAAATAAAAGTCAAGGTAACAAAACACAGTGTAAAGTTGGTAATATATGAAAAAGCCATTTTTCCTTTCTTGTCAATATTTGTTTGTAAACACGTCTGTTTCTAACAAAAAAGTCGAGTTTTAAGGCCGCTGTGTTGCCGTTGTCGTGCATCCACATTAATAAAAATTCTTGACTTATATGAAAGACCCAGATGTAAGGTAAAAGGCATTATTCTGAAAGTTGTATTTATTGTGTTAAGACTCCTTTCTAATATCTAATTCAAGACAAAATTTCCAACTAAGTGGTATGATTTCAAAACATAATTATCAACTTGTTACTTTAAATATATAATTTTCATGACATTGTACCATTGTAAGACAAAACAATTATCCTTCCATCTATGCCCTTTTAAAACTAAGATGTTTCGTCAAAAATGCCGATATATTTATTGAATTAGAAATAATCAAAGATATCAGCATGAAACTTGAAAAACTTAAAAAAAAAAAAATCATAAGGCGCAGTTGTACGAAGTACTATCATGAATGCAATATATTTAAAGATATTCCATTTTCAGTGTAGATAACTGAATAATTATTTGTTTTAATGTAGAAAATATAATTACATTTACGTAAAATTGTACCGTAGAAAACAGTGGGGCGTCCTTGGTCGAATCGAAAAGATCGTCGACTTCAAACCACTTCTCACTTTGTGGGTTTGAATATTGCCAAGGACTTTGGTTTTTTTCATGTGAGGAAGCTATATCACGGCGTCGGTGGTCCTACTCGGGTAGCCGTTCGTGTCTGAAATGATTCACTTGCAAAGTTTGGAAGTTGTAATATGATCTCTGCTATTTGGTGCGACGTAAAATACAACCCCAAAAAAAGGCATTGTTGAAGTGAAATGTTTCAACAAAATGTTTAACATATCTGCCATTTATCATTTCATAAAAGTTTAACTCAAGTTCTCCATATACCCTATAAGACAAAAAAAAAAGAAAAAAAAAAAAGAAAGAAAACAATATATATTTACATTTGGCCTTCAAGAAAGACCAAACCAGAGACTTATATATTCGACATAGACCTATAGAATTTAACAAACAAGAGGGCCAGGATGGTCATAGATCGCTCGTCTGACCCATCGAACTCATCCGAGCAAATACCTAGACAAGCATTCTGACCAAGTTTCAAGATAGGTGAGATAAAATGTGACCACTAGTGTTTACAAGGATTTTCTATATTTGAGCAGTGTGACCTAGTTTTTGACCCTAGGTGAACCGTATTCAAATGTGACCTAGAAATCATTAAAACAAACTATCTGACCAAATTCCAGGATATTTGATCAAAATAGTAGCCACTAGAGTGTTCACAAGATTTTTCTATTTTTAGCTCATGTGACCTAGTTTTTCATCCGAGCTGACCCATGTTCGAAGTCGTGCGAGAAGTTACCTACACAAGCATCCTGATTAAGTTTAATGACAGTTAAGTTAAAAATGTAACCACCCGAGTGTTAAAAAGGTTTTTCCATATTTTGGCAGTGTGACCTAATTTTTGACCCTAGATGACCCATATTCAAACTTTAAGTAGAAATCATCAAAACAAACTTTCAGACGAATTGTCCCGATATTTGAATCAAAACAGTAGCCACTTTAGTGTTCATAATATTTTTCTATTTTAGCTCCTGTGACCTAGTTTTTCTTCCGAGATAACCCATGTTCGAACTCATCCGAGCAATTACCTAGACAAGCATCCTGACTAATTGTGATGATAATTGAGTGAAAAATGTAACCAATAGAGTGTCAACAAGGTTTTTCTATTTTTAGCTCCTGTTACCTAGTTTTTCATTTGAGATGACCCATATTCGAACTCATCCGAGCAAATACCTAGACAACCATTCTGACCAAGTTTGATGACAATTGAGTCAAAAAACCACTAGAGTGTTAACAAGGTTTTTCTTTTTTTAGCTTCTGTTACCTAGTTTTTCATCCGAGATGACCCATGTTCGAACTCATCCGAGCTATTAGTCAAGCATCCTGATTACGTTTTATGATGATAGAGGAAAAAATGTGACCGCTAGAGTGTTAACGAACAAGTGAGGACGGACGACAGACGACGGACGACGGACATTCAACGATCCTAAAAGCTCACCCTGAGCATGCTCAGGTGAGCTAAAAATTCATAGATGATTTAAATAGGTAAAAAAGAAAGTGTTTGGATATGTTTTCATTTCATAATATTGGTATTTCAATATAACTACACAACGCGTCATACGATGGGTGTCAAATATGAATGCAACTAGGCCAAATTTCATAAGTGCTTAACAAACAGTACCAAACTAATTATCTCAACCCTTCAAAATGCTCACCACCATGTGATATACCAAGTATTTGTCTTTCAATCAAATTGGAAATGCATTTTCATAATCTTTTTGAGGTAAACTGTTCAGACACTCGAAAATAGCTGAATATTGTCTTGCAGCAAGTTGTTTTTGAGCCTCGGAAATAGGAAAAGTCACATAGGGCAAGATCTGGCGAATTAGTAGGGTTAGGAAGCTCCACAATCTTGTCCTGTTTCAGATATTCTCGTACAATGGCCGCTTTGCATGAAGAAGCCATTGTCATGCAACAACCTGACACAACGGAGACCGGTTGCTGATCGACGGTTTTTTAAAATACTTGAACTTGCCTTTCTTCAGCTTTGCATTTACAGATTAACCATATGGTACGGTATTTGAATAGAAGTACCTAGATTGGTTAAGTAATTTACATGACGCTCATGGAACGTTTTGCTATGCAATGTCTTCGACTTCTTTTGGTTGTCCATATTTTGTTATGTATCTTTTGCTTGGGCTCATAAAAGTGAACCCACGTCATACCGCCAGTGATGATTCTTGCGAAAGATCGATTGTTGTTTTAGGGAACTTTTTAAACAATTTTTTAGAGATGATTATCCGAGCAAGTTTTTTCTCTGTTTCAGGAGTTGGGGTATCTGTCTGGCCCTTATCCATTTTTAATCACGTCACGTGGCTCCTACTGAGATACTTACGCATTTAGCTATGTACCTAGTTGTAAATCTTGCATCGGCAACATTCAAAACCTTTACTTTTTCAACCATTTTTGGCACAGTTGCAGTTTTCCGGCGGTGTGCTTGAGGTGCATCTTTTACTGAATCCATACCACTTTTTAATTTCTTACACAACCGTGCGACAGATGAAAAAGAAAGTTCATTGTTCCCATAAACACGACAAATTTCATTAGATATGTCGTTTCCCTGTATACCAAGAATACATCGACCGTATTTGGTCAGTGACCAACCATTTCATTTTAGCTTTAGTATACACGAGTAGAGAGCGTTAATCGAGCTATTGTCAAAGCTAGACTGAACTAATTTACACTTGTATTATATAAATTAAGAGCTTACACAACCATCTATACGTTATATTACATAGTTCGTTAGTTCGTACATAATGTCTTAAAATTGAGTACATATTAAGATAAACGCCAAATGTTAACACATATTTACAATATTGTGTAAAGTGATTGAAAAAGGAAACAATAATATTTTTTTTGTTTTTAGATATTGTCGTACCAGTCTGTGCTTCAGCTGAATAGTTATAACAATGATTGGTCAAAAAGATATGGATCATTTATAGCTGGGCCTAAAGCGTCACCATCGGGTGACAGCGATGTTAAAGCAGCTTGCATGGAGTTTCGCTGTACTGCAAATGGGTTCGGATCAACAAAACTTAATGGAAGTATTTCATTTCCAAAAGAGTACTGTTGCAACATTCAGTAAGTGTTAAGTTTATATAAGATTGAATTAAAATGTCAATTTATAACGATCAACTATCGCATATGAAAATCATAACGGTTAATTTGCTTATATAAGGTGGCAAAGAGATTTTATGTCGTTGCTATGAGTTATTTACGGAAGAGCATTAGTGCCAGGTGTATGTTTTTTTATTAATTCGAAATTTCGAGTTACTAACTCGAAATTTCGACTTACTTATCTCGAAATTTCGACTTACTAACTCGAAATTTCGAGATAGTAAGTCGAAATTTCGGGTTAGTAACACTTTTAACACAAATTTCGAGTTACTTAGTTACTTAGTCGAAATTTCGAGTTAGTAAGTCGAAATTTCGAGATAAGTAAGTCGAAATTTCGAGTGAGTAACTCGAAATTTCGAGTTAATAAAAAACATACACCTGGCACTAATGCTCTTCCGTAGTTATTTACTCGTGTGCATTGAGATAATTTAAGTTGCATTTGATAAAATATAAAAGTCATTCTATAGTTTAGTTCACATTTTTAACAGTACTTTCGTATATCCCATAAAAAACTTGTTCATAAATCATCATTAAAACCCTACGGTATCACCAAAGTTCGTATACGAATTATATTGTGCAATTGAAGACTACTGTCCTAGGATGATAACTTGAGCCTTTGTTTACATAACAAAGACCAATAACAATGCGAAAAATATGTTAGGCAGATCAATGCCACAATCTATAAAAATGAAAATAAAACTACAAGTTATCATATGTCTTGTAAGCGCAGTAGGTAGAGCAACTGTGTCAGTAATGTGTTTTATTGTGTGTACATCCGTACAGGCAGAAGTTCGGCTACTGGTAAGACACTTCTTTTTTACCTCAGAAAAACAGTCAATTGTTCAGAAAACAAGTTTGACTGTTTTTTTTTTCATATACATACATGAATATGAGATCGAATATTTTATTACACTGCGATCAAAAAAAATACAAAAAGAAAATAGAATAGAAATCAAAAGAATAAATATATACTATAAAATATATTTTATAAAAATTAAACAAAAAGGAAAACGAAAAATAAATAAATATTTAAATAATGATAAAAAACAGAGCAAGAAGAAAAAAACTGGTTATAAAATGGCACTACGTGGGGTTCGAACCCATGAGTACAAAACACTAAAAGTGCCAATAACTTCGATCTATCGACAGAGCAATAACGGTCATACACCAACGATACTGTGAGAATAATGCTATACAGTATACAGGGCTCGGAATCAAAACTGCGTCGTATCCTACAAAATGTAAACAAACGCCGCCATCTTGGAACGAAAAATGTATGTTTTCGTTTATAACTCTTTTGGTTGGAAATAACTGAAAACCAGATATATGTATTAACACGCTCCACTATTTTCCGGTTCGTTCGGTATATTTAGCTTGCACATCTATTTTGTAATACAAAAGTTATAGCGAACTTGCAATTCGAAGCGGAGCAGAATTTTTATGAAATTGTGTGGAAACGACGCAGTTCATATTGCTTTATCAATCGTTTTTTTCCTTCAAATCAATTATATACTCGTTTCAGAGTTCACCATAAACTTCAAAATTTAATTTTGCATCACTTACTAAAGTTTCATATAAAAGAAATGTTTATTTTCCTAGAAAATAATAATTTGTATGAAATGATACGACGCAGTTGAAAATAAAATATGATACGACGCAGTTGTATTTTCATTGCAGGCTGCATATTGGTTCAGCTATTTAATTATGCGTTAAGTATGCTAGTTACTTCAAACAACATTTCTTGTTTACAACTTAAGTCAAAAGCAGAGGTCACTCATTGGTTCCAAGAAAATGTTATACAAATTTTATAAAGGCTTCATTTTTCGGTCGCATTTTTAGCACCTGTCATAAGCATCTACAAATTCCGAAAAGCTGTATCCAATGCAATATACATTGTGATCGCACACCAATATGACAACATGTTATATTGTTGCGTTAGCATGCTTATAAACTTGTGACCGTGAGTTCGAAACTAATGGGGGTACCTTTTGCAGTCTTCTGATACAACATTCAACATTCCAGGGTAAACCTTTCTGGACCCTGTATCAATACGGAATGTCCTTTGTTTAAAAAAAGGAGAAAGAATTACAAATTTTGAAAAAAGGTATCTTGCTATCGGAAATGAGGTATGCGCAAATTGCATGCATGTCTACCTTTGTTACTTATAATTAACAACAATACCCATTAATTACGTTATTACTTAGGTCTTTTACGTGCCGATTTTAGTGTATATAATCGGTGAGAACAGTTGAGCTTTATCATTTGAAACTTAAATCGGTATTTGAAATAAAGCATTATGCCTCTTTTAAATGATCATTAATTTTTTTAAATTATATTATAAATGGTTAAGCTACGATATATTTTTGCAAGTAGGGTATGCGTTTTATCGCTGACTTTGTCGAAATTGCATTTCTTTAAAGCCGATGAGAACAGGTCTACGAAATGTATATTTTCTATATTTGCACTATTGTATTAAGGAAACTTTAAACTTTCAAAATAGAGTTTAAAAAATACAAAAATGATAAAGCTACAAATTATTTTGTAAAGAAAGTGTCCGTTTTGCAAAGGTATTTTACGCTTTGCACCGATAAATTTAATATAGATATATGTACGGCATGATGTTTCAATAGTATAGAAGAAGATTTCACTATAATATTGAATTAAAGCCAGGATGAGAAAATTAAGATCAGATTATCGCATCGAATTTTCCACAGACTAAAGACATGGCATCTTAACATACCTAAATACTAAAGTGTGATTTTTGTTTAATAATAAATTGCCTGACACATATTTTTTTTTATTAAAAAAAAGACTTCAAAGAGGATTACTCCCTGTTTACATTGAAATTTCTCTGCCATTTAACACCACTGACAGACTGACACATACATTTTTAAACGAAATATCAAAGTAAACCGGATCTTAGAGATTGAGGAAATATTTCAGTTCAATAACAATTCTCTTTATAATTAATTCAAATATTTGTTATATTAAAACTTCATGTCAGAAGTTTATTTTAAAAAACTGCTTATTTGTACAGCTGTCATTTAAGACAATGGTTAACAAATTTAGTTGAAAAAAAATCAGAAAGGTGTGTCCGACCGAGCTCTGTATGTTTAGTGACTTCAAATCACTTGCACTGAACTGCTATGAATTCGAAAACCACCAAGGACTTTTGATTCCATCAAGTGGAAAATCTAGCAGGGAAGTTTAAAAATGTCGATGGTTCTCTGCAGGTGCAACATTTTGCCTGAAATAATGCACAAAGGCGCATCTGAGGTCCTCGCCCCTAGTTAGTGTAAAGTGAGAGTTTGAAAAAAAAAAACTACAAAAAAGCAGTGTTACCTAGATCATGCAGAACCACAGTTACTAAGAGCGTAGCTAGCCGAAATAAATAATGTGATTCAAGTTCATAGACTTCTATTTTTTTGCCAAAACATAGGGATATTATTGAACATACATGAAAAAAAATACTTAAGATATTATGAAAAATTAAGTATCATGTTTAACTGAAAAGAAGCTTCCGCAATGACAATTTTCAAATTAAATGTTATATTGGACATGACACAATGTATTCTAAATAATCAAAAGCAACAGAACATTGCTATAAACCGCAAATAATCTTATTAATATTTTTTTTATCTAGCGCAAGCGATTATTCCGTAAAAAAGACATATATTGCCAAAATCATCCCTGTTGAAAGTACAACTGCGTCGTATCATATTTTTATTTCAACTGCGTCGTAACATTTCGTACAAATCATTATTTTCTTGGAAAATAAACATCTCTTTTTAATGAAATTTTAGTAAATGATGCAGAATTGTATTTTGAAGTTTATGGTAAACTCTGAAATGAGTATATAATTGATTTGAAGTAAAAAAGATAGATAAAGCAAAATGAACTGCGTCGTATCCACAAAACTTCATAAAAATTATTGCCCTCTTCGAGTTGCAAGTTCGCTATAACTTTTGTTTTACAAAATAGTTGTTCAAGCAACATATACCGAACGAACCGGAAAATATTGGAGCGTGTTAATACATATATCTGGTTTTCAGTCACTTCCAACAAAAAGAGTTATAAACAAAAACATACATTTTTCGTTCCAAGATGGCGGCGTTTGTTTACATTTTGTAGGATACGACGCAGTTTTGATTCCCAGCCCTGTTATATGTAAGTGTTTACTTTCACGATATCGGATAATAATCCAGATCACCCCGTTTTTTTGACTTTCCCACGTACCGTTAAGACCAAATTATCATCCTAGTTTAGTAGTATACTTAGCTCGTGTATGCGCTACGTCACAGTGATAAATCAATTATTACCACGTGGATCAGTTGATCACAGCCAATATGGGATATTCTTGTATAAACAAACTTTTCACGGTGCATTAGCCTTGTCGTTACGAAAATGTAATCATCTCATAAAAACAAATTCGGACTGCTACTTAGAAAATATGTGTTGATTTGATTTTCTATTGATGTACAGATTACCCCAAGGTGGAGTTTCTCATACAAATAGAAATTGAACTTCCGTTTTTGCCACAATGAGGTGTTTATAAAAATCATTTGGGTTATCTGGACACGAAAATAAGAACGGGAGTCGATATGAAACACATGTAGCTATTCCTTTTTTATAAAATTTATTTAATACAGCTTAAAGTGATGCACGCAAGATACTGTGTCGTGGTCACGAGTTATTAGATCGTACATATACATGTACACACAATGATGCCCCTGCTTCACCTTCCTGTCACAGTGTCATATATACAAGTTATTAAAAATTTGACTATGATGGTACATTTTTTGAAAATAAGTATGTGTCATCTACTGATCAAATACAATGTCCATACTAGGCGATATAAACCATTGCTTATTCCTTCAAAGTTATTCACCAGACAAATATTTTACATGAATTGTCATGGCTACCTTGACCTTCGACCTTATTACCTTGAATGTCAATATAGGTCA